GGGGGGCACAGTGGGGAGGGGGAGGGCACCTGGGAGTGTGGAGCATCAGCACCACTGCCAGATGCAGGCAGCTGATCATGCAAAGCCCCCTCCCTCACCCTTCCTCACCCTCCCCGGAAGGGGTCACGCCCAGTCGCCTCGCCTGGAGACGGTTTGCGCCCAGAACTATAGAAGCTCGCGATAATCGTTGCGCCGAGAGGGCGATAGTGAAGTGACAGGGTGGTCGCTGCTGTGCCCCGTTGGAGCGTAGACTAGCCCGCATGCAGAGGCGCGGACGGGTTGCCTATTCGCACGGGGCCTTGGAGCGCCACAGCTGGCCGGGGACGATGGGCAAACCCGTTCGCACTCGTGCGTGCGGGATATAGTTCAAGCATTTGCTCCAACCTCCAACGGGGTGCAGCAGCCTAGTAGACGCTAGTAGTAGACGCCTGCCACTTCCCCACAGCCGCGGCCCACTTCAGTCGAAACGCAAAGCTCCGCGCTCAAGTTGCGACTTTGATCGTCGGAGAATAAACCCCGATAGGAAGCACGCAGGACCATCCCTGGAGGGTGGGTGTATACAACTGTAGCCGGCCCGGACGTCACTCAGATTCTCGGTACTAAACAGTCTAATACTTTCGACTTACGTCACCAATCACCAATCGATGCTGAAGCAGCCTCTTCCACTTACACAGAGCCCTGGATTACTGGCGGTGTGGGGCACTCACGCAGCCCCGCCCCGCCCTACCCCGCCCCGCCGCGCCTTCCGCTCAGGTGTCGGTGCGTCTCCCAATAGTATAATGAGTGCGACGAGTGTCGTATCTCTGCCCCTGCTGTAAATCACTCTGCTCTGCCGGCTCTGCCTCCACGGCTCGCGCGCGTGGTGGGCGCGGGTGGGCGCGTCGGGCCCGGGGGCCTCCCCTCGCCCTCGCCGCGTATATATGACTTTCGGCGCGACCCGCGGCTTAGAAGTACTTGCGCAGAGCGTCGGTGCGCACCGCACAGGCCGCCCCCCGAGCATACACTCACCCAAGAGCAAGATCCGTGAATCGTCAGCGAGATGCTGGTCGTCGCCGTCCTCGCCCTCACTGTGGCGTCCGCCCTGGTGCCGGCGGCGCTCGCGGGGCCGTCGGGCCCCGTCTCCAGCCCGCTCGCTGGCCACCCGCGCCCGGCCGCGGTAGCGGCGGCCTCCACCCGCGAGGACTCCGACGAGGCCCTCGCCATCCCCGCCGGCTTCATCATCGGCGCGGGGTCGTCGGCGTACCAGGTCGAGGGCGCCTGGAACGTGAGCGGTGAGGGGTCGTGGCGTGCTCCAAGGG